TTTCAGAAATAATCCTTGACGTGGTTTAAACAGGATGGCGTTTTATCACAACCGAATTTAACTTTATCTCCGGTAGAATTCTGATCAGGCATTAGCTCCGCCTCCTTTTCTTTCTTTTTTTTCAAGCTAAGGACCCAAGATCCGCGTTTCTCTAACAGGGCTTCAAAAGAGGGGTTTGAGCAGTATGAGGGATGGCTACAGTGGGTGAATTGTTTGGTATTTTGAAAACAAAACTTCACAGACATGTTTTGTATAGGTATGGCCCTACAATATACATTTCCAAAATAGCATGATAGGTCCACTTTAAAGAAAAGTAGAAATCCTTTAGTCTTAAAAAAAAACTCTTATATTTTCCTTTTTTTATTTCTTACAAACAAATAATGTTAGGTCGTTCTAATGTACATTTTGGATACTTTGATAAGTAATATAGTATTGAATCAGATCATTTCGAATAGAATAGATTTAAGCATATCTGTTTTCATATGTGAACATTTTTTTGTTTTTTAGAGATAGAGTGAAATGGGGTACGGTGACTGACGGGTTCAAACATGCAACAACAGCCCAAAACATTTCCATTAGGAGAAACCCCCTGTAGTTGCGAGAAGATAAAAACAACTGCGGAAACGGGGTCATTAAAAAGTGATGCACTTTTTAGGGACTGGAGCGATGATTCCTTCCGATATTATTGCAGATCCATCTAACTAACGTAGCTAACCTGTGCCAATCTTTATAATCCCTGAACGTCAACTAGCACTTTTAATGTCCCCGTTTCTGGTGTGTTTTGTGTTTCTTGCAGCGTGTTGTACTTGCAGCATTTCCTTTATGCAGCGCTTTTAGTAAACCCTGCACGTGTTTTTTCAAGATGGGGAAGATTGGGGAAGTCTTTTGGCACATTTCAGTTTTTAAATTAGATTAGAGGATGTCGTTAGGTTTTTCAAAAATATTACAATCCTTATATACTGTATGCATAAAAAAACAACACAATTGTAATGTCATTGGGATCTTACATTATTTGTGTTACTTAATGATTAAGAACCTGGAGCTTCAGCTCATTCAAAAAAGTAAGATTGGGCTAGCTGCCTCTCTGATTTCTTCTCTTCCAGACATTAATCTCCTCCACGGTTCAACCGAGTAATCAATATCACCCGTTCACGTTTTTTCTACTCCTTGCACTTCAGCCAGGAGATGTTTTATATCATAACATGAGGCACATTCTTCAAAGGCAGTGTGTCTGCAGTCATGGCGCATCTCCAAGGCATCATTCAGGAAGACAGCAAAAGAGAAATGCTCGACACAAAAAAACTCTTCTTGAAACTATTTTCTGTGTGGAGTCCATACCAGAGCCCGATGGCAGGTGTTGACTTGACGGACAGCTCATCAGCTGCAGGTGAGGGTGACTTTGAACCCATCGCCAAAAACGCGCTAGTCAACAGGTTACTGTTGCCGAGGCAACAGTCAAAGGTGCACCGCGGGCAAAGAAGGAAAGAGAGAGAGATGCCTGTTTCCTTTTGAATGTGACAGCTGACCATGTCACTCGGGCTCATTCTCCATACATAGTAACACTTAAGGCGTCTGACAAGAGGGCGTCAGTGGTTCACGCTGGGAACAAGTTAGAGGAAAAAATACAACCGTGAACATCTCTTTCAAGTTGAACAAGCGCTATTAATGTCAGGTGTAAAATAAGAATGCAAAATACTTGAGTGTAAACTGACTGAGCAGAACAGATTATACTGACAATGCATATTAATATAAATGTTAAAGAGGGCCTTTTATGCTTTTTGGGTTTTTCCCTTTCCTGTAGGATTTTGTGCATTTTAATGGTCTGCAAAGGCTAAAATCCGAAAGTTCAAAGTGATATCAATATGTAACACTCTTGCTTCCATTGGCTAGCGCTCCAACACATTGTACTTCTGTGTTTTAATCCTAGGATGTTGAATATGGCTCGTTTTGTTTGAGAATCCATGAACACTTGGATATGATTTGACATGCTTGAAGGTTTTAGGTAGAGTTCAAACATTCAGTAAACACAAAGACAAAACAAAAAGCTTCCTTACATTGATACAAAACATATTTGAATCAAACACTGCCTTAAATAACATTATATACTTAAATAAATGAAGCCAGGACCGCAATATATTTTATTATCTCATGCTGTATAATGACCATGTCACTCACCCTTAATTGCAGCTCATGGCATTTACACTTTAAAAACACTTTAACCCCATTTTGTAGCGTTTATACCACAAAACCCCTCCTCTAAATACATGTAAAATGTTGAATTCTTACTGTTGTCACTAGGCAGTTTTCTCAGCCACAGGTTCATAATGTTTGACACACGACCAGTGTTTTACAGCACAGCTAAATGTTGATTATGTATTTTCTTTAGATTTCTTCTCCTAAGTCTAGTTGTCACATACATTAGACCCCAGAGTCCTTAACTGTTTGCATGCTTGTTGATGCTTTTAATTGATGTCACAAATTGTAATGTTATTTATAATTCAACATCCGCAAACCTCTGTGGAATATGTTCACCGTATCGAATCAATATAGGACTCTGAACAGGACTTTTAATCACATCCTCTCTGGCTAAATAAGCAGTGGTGTGGAAAGTAAATAGCTTAGAGATTAGAGCAGCCCCTAACTAATTTGAAAAACATCTGTCTGTTTATAATGAATCTATTTTCTTTCCCCATGTATCCGAACTGTGTCTTCCTTGGTGACAAATGTAATCGTGCTTTGGATGCTTTTATCACTGGTTTCTGGGACAGTGTTCAGTCTTGACCTTAACATTTGAGTTTAATGTCACAAATACAGCTGTGCCTCTAAAGTACTTCAGTAGTTGTTGTTTTTTTTCTTTGAAAAAGTAAATTGTTTTTGTGTGCTCATCTGTCTCATTTCATAATCATATTTATAATGTTCTCTATTTAGCTTTTTATTTAATGTAAAATGGCGATCAAAATGCATTCAAGGAAATACTTTAAACCTTAATAAACTCATGCAAAAGAATGAGGCAGAAACATCTCCCGGGGGTTTATTCAGCTATAATTGTTACCTCTAATTCTTAAACAAACTGGCGTGTAGTGAGATCTATGCACTATGATTGGCCAAGCCCGCCTTCAACAGAAGTCAATATTGTTATTCTATTACACCATCAGGACGCTATCCTGCATCCATGGTGCTGAGAGGAGAAATGCTACGGACTTCGCTGAGCATCTTTTTCTTGATTCCTGTCACCAGCAGGTCAAAAATGTCACTTATCCGCTAAAATAAATAAAAATCTACTGATGGATCCAAAACTAAATCCTGTACAGAAATCTTCGGTTTCTAGACAAAGTATCCTAAGGATGTTGCTGTTCCCTACGAGCCAATAGGTTTTATATTGGATATTTTGCATATATCACTCACATCCGGTCAAAACTTTAATCTTCCAATATTTTAGTTTCCTTCCAAATAGTTCAAAACGATTGACATTTGTCCCAGCTGTTGTTTGTGTTTAATGCACGTTCGAACATTTTAGCTTGCTAATATGCTAAACTAAGATCGATTCAGATTTAATATATGTTGTAATTTTCTATTATCCGTGTTCTCTCCGTTTTTTGTTATTGGTAGGTCGTGCTCTTTCCGCACATACACTGAAGTGTCTGCAGGAAGTACGTGTGAAGGTCGGAGAGTCAGATATCAATTCTGCTCAGTATCGGGGTGTAAGTGGCATTAGGCAGATATCAAACCGTGCGTGATTGATAGCAGTTATTCAAGCGGATGTTGAAGTGTGGTTAATGGAAGAGTTTAGTGGGAATGTTGTCAGAGATTCTGTTTGTTGTCTCTTGTTTTTTGTTAATGGTTTTGACATGATCTTATTCATTATTCTCTCTTCAGAGAACTTTGCCATAAAGCTGTCAAACGCTCTCCATAAATATAATTGATGTCATGATTATATTCCTGCCAGTGCTGGGCTCTGTTCCATTTCAGTTCAATCAATTTGGCTGAAAACTCAAGTGGAAAAGTCATGAGGAAGGACAGGCGTCGCTCACTGGGAACTTGAGGATTTTGGCTTGGACCAAGGTCAATACCCGACCTTGATAACTGTGTGGGGTTTGTTTTATACAGTAGATATATAGTAGTGTAGACATCTTGAAACTAAAACCAAAAACATTGAAAACATTTACCATTAAGAGGTTTACTTCAATTAAAGTAACATCATCTGCAGTTAATGAAACAGAAACGTGCATTTTTGGAGACAACTGTTTCTGATCTCAAGGGTGTGAATAGAAGCGTGTTATAAAAAGCTATGTCACCATATTCAGCCCCGCTGGAGGGAGCTTTGGGATTTTAGCCTCTGCAGACCATATACATACACAACAACCTATATTTTTGGGCTGATTTGATTCACTTCTGGTTGAAGTCCAAAATCCATGTAATAAGGTTGGTATAAGGCGTATCTGTTAGATGCATACCTGATGATTTACTCTGACTTTATTAAATGAAATAACCAAAAGCAGTGTCCAAAAGATGGATGGGAAACGTTAACCTGTGGTATTGAATTCAATGTTTTTCTACACTACCAATTATTATTCCAAAGTTTGCACAATCAATATTGAATGCTCTGTTGGTAAGAGTGTGCATTTCAATGCAAATACAGATCATTAGGGCACATTTTATATTTATTAAGTAAATCTTGTTTTCAGTTTGCATGTTGCATGGAATTGTAAAGAGAGTAACGGTTGCATAAAACACGTTTCACCCAGACATAAAAAAGAGTAAATAAATAAATAAAGCATCACAATCATTTGGGATTATTCTACCACATATTTGAAATGCATTGTCTGTTTTAAACACATCCCAGCCCTAACCCAAGGACAGAGATGTAATTCAGCCATCGTCAGTCACTTAATGACTGAAATAATAATAAATAATAAAACAACACTCTACTCTGAAAATAACAAAACACTTGTGGCTACAATCAACAGTTGCACTGCCATATAATCAAATAAGGAAACACACTGGTGTCACATTTTAACACTTCCTCTGCCTCATTCCTCAACCCTGAAGGGATCCGGGATTACTCTAAGCCACAGAGTATATTGAGACGTACAGAGGCCATTAGAAGGAGGTGATCATTGGGGATGAGGTAATCTTATATGAATATATGAATATCTCCTCACGGCTGCAGCCTGACTTCAATTAGAGCCGCTGCTCGCTCTCCCCTCTGGAAGCGGATCAGCCCAGCCGTGCTTTCTGATTGTGAGGCTTTGAAGAACCAAATCCACTGCACCCGACACGTGCCCCCTGCCACAGCCTCGTCTCAGAGGTAGGGGCTCTACACTCCACCGCCTGCAGGGTTACACAAAGGCAAGGTGTTTGGCGTTGGAATCAAAGCCCCGGTCTTTTTCCTGCAGACTCCGAAATGTACACTTGTGGCTGGTTTATTGATATTATGACATCCTGGTGCTTTCCTAGGGCTTATTGGCTTGTTAAAGGGGGGTTTTCTTGCTTTTTCCATGGCTGGAGGGAGGGGTTAAGCACTGATTGATTTCCAGACGGAGCCACCATAGTGCATCACGTGGAGCAGAGGAGGAAAGCCCGTGGTAACATAATAACGTCCTCCCCACAGCAAACGGCGATAAGTGCTTATGTAATGACTGTTTTATGAGAGTCAGCAGGGTACTGAGGCTGCTAGTTATGGGACTGAAACCTCATTTTGTCCCTGTATTGTTTTCTAACATAAAAGCTTTTTCCTCCTTTTACCGACACTGGGAAAATCCAGACCTTTGTGCTTTATCTGAGCGCTCGCCTGGGCTCCACTGGCGTGTGTATTAAAACCTTATCAGCGGAGAACTTCCAATCCCTGTTCAATGAGAGCATTTAGAGACTCGCCTCTCGACATTTTTTCTCATTTTTAGAAAAAGGGTCTCAGGCTTCTCTTGGCTTTCCTGGCTTAGTGGTTATTACTTGTGATCTTTATTTCAGAGTTTGCACCATCACTATTGAATGCTCTGTTGCTGAGAGCATGCTTTTAAATGCAAATACAGATCATTAAGCTACATTTTACATATATGTATTAAATGTATTTGTATTCAGATTCCTTATTGCATGGAATTGTAAAGGGAATAACCGTTGCATAAAACACGTTTCACCCAGACATAAAACGGAGCAAATCAATAAAACATCACAATCATGTTCAAATAAAATACATTTCCAGAATGATATCCTACTCTCAGAGCTTGTTTCTGTCCTAGTAGGTTGCCAACATGAACATAATATCTTAAGAAGTAGATAAAAGATCATTTTGTTTACCATTTTCTCTAATGTTATGTTATCTTTTCCATTGGTACAGTATGTTGTTTTTTCCCCCCCAAGATACACATTCTGAATCTTGAATTATTAATATTCGTTCTTATTAAGATCAATTAAAGGTTTAGTTTGTAAAATACACATGTCAATATAGACTTACAAGAAATACATTTTTACTAGTAACATTTTATTGCAACAATTTCTTTAATGTAATTTTCCTTGCAAAAATGTCAGGAAAGGTTTCAGCCTGTTAAATATGGAAATGTCCTTCCTATCTTGTTTAATATCGTAGTATAGTGAATGTGTTTAGGTTTCAGACTGTAAAGACTAAACATTCAAAGACATTACCTTGCCCTTGACAATGTTTTTCAGTATTTCCTAACAAACCATTAAACTCATAATCTAGAACATAATCATCAGATCAATCTATAGTGAAAATATTTTTGCAGCGCTTTAACAGAGACAAAGAAAATGACATTTTAATTAAAATGTGAAACTGTACTTCTTGTTTTGTTTCTCCTCAGACGCTGACGACTCTGGCTGTGTGTTGCTGAACACGTCAAGAAAGGTAAGCATGAATATTCATTAAATTAATAAAATATTATTACATCAAATATAAGTTGATTTCTGGCAGTCAGGGCACTTGGCACATTGTCGATAATGAGTGCAGCCATCTGTCAATACAGTGGAGCTCCAGTCCGATCCTAGTTACCCTGTAACATTTTTACTTCAGTAGCAAAAAGATGCACTCTACAGCTCAAATCTAGTGGGATAGATAACAAAGAAGCACACAGTATTGTATACAAGCTCCTACATTGTTTTTTTTCTTCATTTGCACCATTAAAACAGTACCTTGTACACAAGAAAAGAAAATCCATCCCCTACAAACTAAATGCCTTCTTTAAAGCCCCTGTCACACTGTCCCGAAATTGACGCCCGATGGACACACGATTAAGGAAATGTTCAAATTCGGCTCTGATCGTAACAACATCGGGCCATTCGTGAGGGCATCTTAAGCCATCGTATGACCGCCGGTGGAGTTTCTCAGGCTCCGGCAGCAACTTCGGGAGCGGTGGCAACATCTTTGGCATCACAAAGCATTGCCGAAGGTGCCCGCACGAATGGCCCGATGTTGCTACGATCAGAGCCGAATTTGAACATTTCCTTTATCGTGTGTCCATCTGGTTGTTTTATTGCACAACACAATCATGTAAACATATTATGTAAATAACCCAATTTGTGTTCTGTGAAACTAAAAAGGATATAATATATTATTTTGAAGGCGAGGAAGTTGTTGTTGCTATGGAAACAACATGACTGAGAAAACTTAATATCTTCTACATTTAAAGACGGAGAAAGTAAAGAAGTCGGAAAATATCAGTACAGTATCATAATACTTTAACATAATTGTTTGTGTTACTTTCGTTGCAGTTGTATGTCTTAAATGTAATGTAAATGTTGCCTTCGTGTGTGGTTCGGGGCCATCTTCGTGCGAAATTCACAATTCCATATTCGTGTGTCCATCGGGTGTCAATTTCGGGACAGTGTGACAGGGGCTTAAGAGGAAATATTATGCTCATTTACATGTTCATATATGTATTACCGGTATACCTATACATGCTTTAATTTTCAAAAAGGTCTTTATTTTTCTCATACTGCCTGTGCTGCAGCACCTCTTTTCACCCTCTGTCTGAAACCAGAGCCCAGTCAAAGTCAGTAACTGAAGCTAAAGTTTAGTAAGTTAGCTTTAGTAGTCACGATTACCATCCGATACCGAGACCCAGTCTACTTCTTATTCTCCCCTCACACTGTAACAGCTCACAGCTCCACAGTGCTCAGCTGAAGCATAGTGATGTCTGTCAAATGTTTATGTAAAATATAGTTGACGTCTGGATAGCTGTGCTGTCAGTGTGAATTTCTTCTGTGATACTGCTGTCTGCTGCTGTTTATTTTTCATGCCACTCTGCTGTTTGCCCGCTCATTTTGTTCCATGTTAGGAGCCGGTTCCTTTAGTGTTTCGCCAGAGGAAATATCATTCTTTAAATAACGCTTCTGAATCCGGACTGCATGTGCTGAGCAGAGGGTCTAGATTGTATTTGTTTTAATCTGATCAAGCAAGGTTGTAAAATGGCAGTTAAAATGTACTGATGTGTGAATTCTTGGCTCTTGTAAATATTTCTCTTACGGATTAATTTATTTCAAACTGTCTGCAGATTCTCACTCAGTGTGTCTTTGCTCTCTGGCCCTGAAGAGCCTCAGTCCTGTGGCGGTATTTTAAAGTGTGCGCACAGTGACAGGACTTTAAAACAGGTGTCTTCTGCCTCTGGACTTTTGCAATTTAGATCATCCACATTTCAGGTCTTTCCGGGGTCGACCAGACAAGACGAGTAACATTAATCAAGCCTGCTGCTGATGAAAATCGGCAGACAACTTTTTTTTTAAGTCAGCCAAGAAAAGGAAGGGGTTGCTCGGGTGGAATATTCCAAAAATGACAAAGGCAATTTTGGTGTGATGTCGTTAGATAGGAAGGAAATTAAAATTCATAGGATTCATAGGACTCACCGCAGCAATATTTGTCTTACTTATCTGTCTAGAAGCCACACATTCAGCGATATCTGTGAGTTGAGGGGATTTATTAGTAAACCAATTATCAACAGGAACTATACTCGGGATAAAATGGAAATATGCAGCTGTGTAAATCAACCACATGGTCCTTGAGTATCTGATTAGTCAAAAAAGAAAATGACTGGCTGCAGCTTCTTAAATCTAAGTGATATGCTACTAAATCATTTTGAGTTTCAGAGTGTTTGCTTGGACAAAAAATACAATTACAGATGCCACTTTTGACAAAAATGAGTTGGCATTTTGACTATTTACTAATGGAATAATTAATCAATGAATTTAAGCAACAGTCGGTTGATTCATTCATAATGAAAAGAGACATTAGTGGCATCCCTACCTTTGTATATTTCCCAGTCGAGACATCAAAGCTTCACATCACAAGTGAGCATTAAAGACAGACTTAATGGTGTAGAGTAAAGTGAGAATTTGAACGAGCTCTGATTTATTATTTTCCAATTAGATAAAAAAAATAATTAAACTATCCAATGGGGGTGGGAATCACCAGGCTCCCCACGATACGATAATATTGCGATACTTAAAGGTGACATATCATGCAAAATGCACTTTTGTACGTCTTTTATACATTCATATGTGTCCCCGGTGTTCCAGGGAACTCACCAAGTGTCAGAAAACACAACCCTCTCTCTTTTCCTCCATACCCAAATCTCTTAAAAAGGGGCTGCAACGGATCTGATACAGACTGATCCAGATTTGAACACTACTGTGACGTCACAGAAGTGGCGCTACGGCTATTGGGCCAACTCCACCAATCAGAGGAGACAGCCACGGACATTGCCGTTGGAAAGCGCTGGAGACGCTGTAGTACATATGCCAGGCCTGTAGATGGTGCTGTTCTCACAGAATCAGCCCATGCAAAGACAGTGTTAAACTGAGCGAAATGAGGAATGGCTAAAATGCATGATCTGTTTGGTATTTTGAAAAACAAAAAGTATAAATATGCCTTATATAGGTATGGTCCTACACTATATTATTCAAATATAGCATGATAGGTCAATTTTAAGCCACGATACGATAGTATTGCGATTCTACGATATGCGAAGTATTGTGATACGATATATTGCTCATCACATGGGTCATATCCATGTCCGTTTTCCCTTCCTAGTTAAAAAATGTATTTGCAATATGAATAGTTTATGTAAATAACCTAATTTGTGTTATTTGAACCTGAAAAGGAGATGGTATTGTTTTTGTTACTTTCATTGCAATTGTATACATGTCTTAACGTAACTTCCTGTTTTATATACGACCATCTTTTGGAGGGATATGCTACAGTTTATATACAAAAAATAAATATAAAAAAAGTGTATGTTATAAAATATCGATATTTGGCATCCGTGTATCGATACAATATTGCCACTCAAGGTATCGCGATACTATGCTGTATCGATTATTTCCACCACCCCTACTATCAAACATACTTTGATACCAGCAACCATTTTCCAGTCTCATTTTACTCATATAACGAGTAATATGTATGTGTAATATACATGTACAACAAGCCGTTTCTTGCACTACAGATGGACTGCTCTCCCCCCACAGTTCAGGGAGTTTAGAGCAGCACCCAGAGGGCATTAGTTTAAACTGGTAACCAAAGCTGTCAGATTTCACTTTGTTGTGCCTTGTTCGTGTGAACAACTTGTCTGCTTCTCTTCACTAATCTCCCCATTCTGTTTTACACTCCTGCCTGTTTTTTAATCTCCTTCTGGTTTAAAAAAAATACATTTTACATGGTCACATCCTGAAGTGGTTTGAAGAATACAGTTTTGATGTGGTGATGTTTCTGCTACAGCGGCATACTTTTTGCTTTCTTACTCAAAACTTCAGAAAAGAACTCCCCAATGCTTTCTCCAGCAGATACTGTGTGGACCTTAGTGCGTAAGACTAAAATGTATCTTCAAATCTTCCGAAATTAGCTTCAACTTACACCTTTTGAATCACTTGACCGGAAGAGAAACTGAACCAAAACCCGAGACATGTAGCATACGAACACAGGACAAATCAAATGTATTTATAGAGCCCTATACACAAATATCTCCACAGACTTGGAGATATGGATTCTTCTTGTGCTTGTTTTATTTTTAAAAGAACAGCAGGGAACCCACTCATCTTCAGAATTTCTGTCAATCACGCGATCAATGAAATCGAGGAGCGCTGGGTGTCTGGGCTCTTAATCGAGCTGTGTTCTTCTCAGGTGGTTCTCAGACTCCACTGGTGCGATTTAGTGAACTTTGGAGGGTGGATGCATAGTTCCATGTTTTCAAAAAGGACAGTATTTGGCTCAGAGGGGGTGGTGTAGATCAGAGATGGGCAAATGGCGGCCCGGGGGCACACTTTCACACTTTTGGTGTATCTGTGATACTTTTGACTTAAAAGTTTTGTTTTAACACTGAGTTCCTTTCAATTTGCTGTACTACATAAAGAAAACAACAATCTTTAACCTACATTGGTGATTTTGGTAGACTGGGTCCAGGCGCCCACATCTCTAATTGTAATCACAGCGGAGTGGTGTGTGGGATTGTTGACATCTTCCTGAGTAGCTTGCTTAACGATCAATGGGACAACTTGGCAGGCACTTTTACTTCTTTATTGATATTGTGTTTTGTGTTAACCCACGCTACGCATTTTAATTAGCCACAACATGTTAAATCCCCTCCGATGATACTGACTATTTAGAACTAACATTTTTTAAAAGGGGATCAGACTGTACTGCTAAACTCGCACTCAGACGACAATAAATTCTGATCTGCCGGAAATCCAAGTAATCCTCTTGACAGCAAGATCTTTCAAACCTTTTGTCAAACTGAAATCAATAAAACACGATCTGACTAAAATGTTTCCTGATAATGAGATTAGTCGAGGTTGGCCAATCTTTTTAAGGAATATTATTACCAGCGTTTATAGCATTTATTTTATAGTACTGAAAAATGTTAAGTGACGTGCTCCTTAAAATGATGTTGGCTAACTACAGTTATCTCTAGAGATACATGTTTAGTAGTCTCAATCTCCAATATGCAATATCAGAGACCGCACAGCCATATACTGTAAACACTATATAGAAAACAAATATTGTCTTAGATTTTGGATATTGTTATATTTCATGTTGTTTTTTCCTGGTTTTGAAGGCTCAATAACAGAAACGTATTGAGATTTTCTAGAATGAATCATACTGTTTTATTTGCCTTCACTGACTAAGTCTTTATTTGTGAATGCACCAATTATACATTATTGTTGTAATATTGAGGTAAAACGGTCATAAAATATAATTATATTTTGTAATTTCTCCACATCCCTCAGCTCTATTTGAAATACATATTAGTAGTAGTAGTATATTAATAGTATTTTTAGAGTTAACTAAAGACACAACAACACAAATCTATGAACATAGTGTATGTGAAATAAGTGACTTAGGTCCAATTATACAGAAACTCAATACATTTTGACATCGCTTTTTAGCCTTCTTCATTACACTGATTGGCATAATCAGTACAGAATGTACCATTCAACAGACATACAGAGAGATCGAAATGACGTTTCCAACAATCCCGAATGTAAAATGATACAGTATACAGATATGTATAAAAATATGTATAAAATATGTATATCCTATATACACAGTCAACCGACACATTTACACATATGCACACATTAAGATAAAAAAACACAACAATCAATATATACAAAATAACAGTCAGTTCAATATCAATATCTTTGGTGCAAGATTGTCCATAAAATGTGCATTTATTGCAGATCATGTCCACAGCAGCATGAAAAAAAAAGTGTGTCGATCACTCTGTCTGTAAACACAAACTGAGTAAGATTGACATTAAAGTTGACTTTGACTTCCAACACCATCAGACGTTGAACAATTTGAATCTTTCCCGCAGTATGTGAAGCTGATGAACTTCGAGGAGGAGATCCGGGCTCACAGGGACCTGGACGGCTTCCTGGCGCGGGCCACCATCCTGCTGGACGAGACCGCCGCCTCGCTGGACGACGTTCTGAAGAGGATGCTGCACAGCGTGGGCCAGGACAGCAACGCATCCGAACCCACCTGCAACTTCGAGGAGGTGATGAGCATGCTGTTCACTGACGCCGGAGCGCAGGAGGTCAACGGTAAGCAGATAAACCTGTCAACGTGCATGTAGAATCCAGCATGAGGGAAAAAGGGATGCATTCAACTCTTTAAACACAATAAGACAGAACTTTTACCATCAAGGCACCTGACCTAAAAACATCTGAAGTGTGGACATGTCAACACCTACCTGAAAATTAGCTTCAGCTCAGGCCCGGGAGCCCATTTGTCAGATTGACTCGCGAATGCTTCAAGAAGCTTTTAAGACCCAAAGGAGAGTTTGTGATGTTTGAAACGAGGCTGTCCATTTGCCCCGCGGCTTTTTGAAGTGGACACAAATAAAGCTCAATGCGCTGAATCCTGTTGGCAGCCATTAACATGTGCAGACATCAAACGTTTCACAGTGGTTGTGCTACATTAATGCACAAGGATAAGATACACATGGTTTTTATTTATTGATCAAAACCAGGGAAAACATCACAACATATATATTTTTTTAAAAGGAATCCTGTCTGTCCCCAAACCTGGTAGTAGTTCAATATGTGTCCAGGTAATTGTAAAATAAATTGAATGTGTATTAAAACAATCTGGGGCTGAATCTACAGCAATAGAGGGAACATCAACCCTTTTTTGGATGTCTTAAATATTTGCAAATAATCCTCTCGTATAAAAGCAGTTATTTACTTACAAAAAAATCAATATCATATAAATTGAACAATATTTTGTTGTAATTTATTTTATATTAAAACTAAATCCAGTTTCCCCCCGTCCCCGTCCCCGTCCCATTCCTGGTAGTAGTTCAATATTTTTAAGATAATTGAAAATGTGTTGGGTTATTCTTTAAAAAAAAAATGCAACATGGTGCCATTTTAAGATTGCAAAAATAATGTATTTGCGAAGATCGAAAACAGCTAAAATAATCTAAACATTTACCAAAATGGTTTGCACATTTATACATATCAATCTTCCTTTTTGGAAAATGTTGTTTGTTATTGTACCTAAAATGTTACAACATTTTCTAGATATAATATGCTAGACTCTATGCTCACCTTGCTCTCTTCTAAGGCATACATTCCTAATAAAGTGCACTTTAGTTTCTCCATTTCCCAGCCTGCAGACCCCTCTCACATTAAATCACTTGAGAGCAGGTCCGTTGGCTGAGCAGCAAATCCTCTTGGTTAGTAGTAGGTACAGTAGGTATTCTTTTAAAAAGGTTTATCATGGTGCCACTCTTTCTTGTTGACATCAATCAATGATAAAACCGAAAAATAATTAATTTGAGAAGGTTGAAAACAGCTAAGGTAATAGGGTAATTCTAACACATACATTTCCTATGAAGGGCCATATCGTTTCTGCAGGTTTGGCGATCATTTCCCAGCCTGCAAAGCCTCTTGGTTAAGGCGGATCTCCTCAGCCCATTAGAGAAATCTGCCCTCCTACATAACCGTATGTGGCAATTGTTGAAGCCCCGCTCCCTGCCAAAAGCTGCACTGAACATTCACCAATCAACCTCTGCTTTCTTTTTAGTTAACGTCAGTCCAGATTAAATGTTTCCAGCACATAAATCTTGCGGGCGGTGAAATGAGAGGGGTTTCCTGCCGTTATAAGAACATGTTGAGGTAATGGTGGTGTCAGGGCTGGCTGTCATGTATCTGCCTCCGGTGTTTTCCTGTCGTTCTGAGCTGGTGTGCGCAGTGGCTGATGGTTAGTCGGAGGTGGGTGGTGTGTGACACTCAACTCTGACAGATCGGGGAGGTGATAATTGACTTCTGTCATCGATCACTCACTTAGCTTTTCAAATGGCTCTCTGAGACTCTCAAGCTGTGGTGGCTGCGGCTACTTCACTGTTTCTCTCCCGGAATACTCAGAGGCAAAAGAAGAGACCTTTTTTTTTATATTTGAGGCTGCCATTTTAACTTAAAGGCTTCCTGCACACTGGGCTGTCTGGAAAATCAATTTGAGAATTCAGCAATATCTGGAGCTTTTACTACATTTGGAAATTCTATAAATCAGAATCAGGTTTATCACCAGGTAGGTTTACACGTACGAGGATTTTGACTTGGTGTCGTGGTGCATACATAAAAGTAAAACAAGAATTAAAAATACAGGTAGAGATTAAAAATATAGTAAAATATAACAGTAGGGCAAAAAACACAGTTGCAATTATTTGAACTGAAATTGCAATTTGCAATAAGGACTGCCTGGCATAATTCATCTCTTCTCTTTTCTGAGTTTAATGTATTTGTATGCATGGTCCTTGTTGAAATAAATACATTTCAACAATACATAATAACTTATAACTCAGGTTAATAGAGTAATTCATAATATCTTTATTATAATCCTCATTACCATTGAAACATATATTTTTAAGAGGCATCGAATGTGTTATATGAGTCAGTAAGTTCTGATATGTAGGTCGAGATATCTCTACAACGCCACACTATTTAATTAAAAATGGTGTTTAAACACATATTTAGCTTTTAACAAATATTGTGCTTCCTGTTTTTTTGAATAGTGCACTAGTCCAGATTGGGATTATGATAACATTTTTAATTTATTGTGCAGCCATAGTATAACACATTGTAAAATAAAGGAAAACACTTTATCATGAAAATGAATTGACGGCAATAGAGTGATAGTTGTAAACCAATGTCTGTCTGCAGAGTGTTGTCACGATACCAACATTTGGGTTTTGATACCGATACCAAGTCAAGAATTGCGATTCCGATTATTTTTCGATACTTTTCTTAAAAAAAGGGAAACAGTCTTAAATGTAATTATTGTGCTTTATTTCATACCAGAACCATAACCATAACACAAACTTTTAAACAATGAGAACAATAAATTAAATACATGACTAGAATTTGTATTAAATACAATTAAGCATCATCTATAAACAACTTTTTTGTTTTTCGCTTCTGGCGTCTTTTTTGTCAACAAGCCGAGGCGCAGCGGCAGTTGCACTCCCACTTGCAGCCATGCTTCTCGCTTTCTCACATGCTCTGGCAGATAGCGCGTGCACGAGAGAGGGGAGGGACTTAGAGCGTGCTTGAGAGGGGAGGGACTGCAGGCACGGCTGCAGTGCAGGGAGTGGAAGCAGAGCGCTGAACACACACGGCTCATTAAAACGGCACTTTCTCACGGAGTACCCCGTTATTCTTAAAGTACCGATACTAATGAAACGGAGGAATCGTAACGTTTTTAACGGCAGGGTTTCGCGGTACCTTTCAAGTATCGGTACACCGTGCAAAATATTTCCAAATGATCAGTAATAGTCGGTAATCACATTTGCATCCTTAACAAAGTGCTAAATTAGATTAATAGTCCTAGTTTTCATAAACTAATATCGTGCAAAAAAAAGTCGGTGAAATGCTGGAATAGGGATGTAGGGAATAGTAGATGGAAATGTGGTGATAATTAATTACGAGAAGAATGATGTAACAGCGCCACACTTATGCAGCAAATAATGACGACAAAGATGAGCTGTAGCTATTGAATACTATCTACAGATGGATTTAACAAACATAATTATTTACAGAATGAGCAGAACAAAAAGGAGGAAATTAGGTTACATTATCAAATATGCATTCATATCATAAAAGGTCTTTTTTCAAGCTATTATTTGGTATTTTTAATTATTTAATAGGAACATGCACCACTTCAAAACATGGATTCCTCATTCTCAAATCCATCTCTCCAGTATGTTGTAATGAGTTCCTTTCACTGACAGTGACATGTAGGACACCTGAATTAAAATCAAGAATATTCACACATGTCAGGATGAGGGGGGGGAGACAAAGGCCTTTGGGGAATACATTCATATTGCACGTAAGTATGTTATCGACAGGACATATCTCTTCAGGTATTAATTTCTGCCGTATCTACACTTACTCTGCTGCAGCGATATGGCTGGCTCATTTGGAGTGTAATACTGTACAGCTGAGAGATAAAGAGAACAGGGCCGAGATTATAACCGCCACAGTGAGAACGGAGAATTACCCAAATTAAAAAAGATGAAAAGCCCTCAGAGATAATTAGTCCTGCTATAACTTGTGCAGAGGAGCCAACTCAAGCTGTTTCTTTTTGGGTTCACTTTTGTCTTGGGATCCGGAAATGGCTACACACATTGTTCAGCGGGATAACGAACAGCATTGCTGATGATCCAATGCATTAATAATAAGAGCCAGTGGAGAAGCAATGGGATAATACACCACATACATAATCTCCTTTATGGCCCCACAACCGTGACAAAGAAGTACTTGTGTAACTATGCACATGTGATTATAATAAAACTAACTGTTTACTTACATTGAGCTAAATACTCCCAAACCATGGTTATGTATGATCATCAACAAGATGAACACCAAATAAATTATATATTTCTTAATTTGAAATGACAGATTACAGGGAATTAATCATTTACAGAATATTAGAAAACATTAAGAAAATATTATGTTCTGCAAAACGTAGTTAAACTAATGGGAAAATGACATTGAAATTAGTTTCAATGCTCCTCAAGACTGGTTCTGTATTTTACTGTAAATCAGATGAAATAAGACTTAAATATTCTTTTTTTTTTTATATATTACAGATTAGAAGGAATTATTTATTTACAGAATATAAAAGATAAGATAAGAAAACCCTTAAAATTCTCCGGACACAAAAATAACTTTTACTAACTCTAAGCCGGCCTCTAAAAAAAAACGTCCTGCTTTAAGATCCTCAGTAACTATTCAAACCAATAAATGATTATGGGACATTGAAGATGATGACAGTGCTTACAATAGTGATGAGCGCCTGCCACAGAATGACTAATCGTCAATATTTCAGTAATGATGTTTAATTGTGTTTCCCTCTCTTCCTCCTTGATGCTGTTAGCGGCTACCGTGCTTCATGCCCTGCTGATTGTGGGCCCTGTTTGTGATGACTGTACCATCATTTCTCCCTAAATTGCTGTCACCTTTGATCGATCTCACCCGCTTTCCACTTGGCCTCAATTTGCATAATCCTCCTGATTTTTTATTTTTATACCAGCTCAAATCAGACTGAAAAACATTCACATCAATTCAAAGCTGTAGAGGAAAGAGGGGGATCTCTTTTCCTAAAAATAAAAAGCTTAACAATGTCTTAAAAAAACCTTTAACTGCAATCATTTTCACATTTGATGATCCTTAATATCACATACAACCTGTTTAGTGTACCAAAAGTATGCATCTGTTGAGGCACAAGGATAATTACTTTCCTAACATACTTTGTGCTGATGCATGCTCATCGTCTGACAGGTGGAACTCTGAATATTCTGCATATGATTAATTCTGTTTCACAGGAAAAGGTGCGGTGAATTCCTGAATCAAGCCACCATGCCTTCTCTGTTATAATAACATATCTTTTCCAGGCCGACGGCATGACTTTTCACCGTGAAAATCTCTCTGTAGCGTTCTGCGGGAATGATCAGAATACTAAACTGGTGGCATTAATTCAAGCTCTTTTGCCACGTTGAAAAAATGGTGGCCACACATGTCATTTTTTCTCGTCTTGATCTCTTCATTGACGTATGGTTTCTCTACACACACTATCAGTGATAAAATCCAATTTTTGATAATAGCCTGTAGACGGTAATCAAGATAAGATCGCTCTGCGCCTAACAACGACGAGACATTGAGGGATTTTCTCTGGAAAATGATATTTAATATGCATGAGGTAAAGGAGGGCAGGAAATGAAGCTTCTGTTCAGCAGAGATATTTATGTGCGTGCCTGTTAACCAGAAAGTGTGTCGATATGTGTGTGTGTGTATTTCAGTGTCTTCGTTTGTGTACTATATTAGATTCTGGTCGCCTGTTGATCTGAAAAGGTGACTGAACTGACTCTGGTTTCTCCCCTTGGTTTTTTCTCCCTTTTTTCTCCACATGCAGACAAGTCTCAAAGTTTCGTTTTCTTTGATGATGGTAAGATGTGCTAATTGGATCTAAATGTCAGCATCAGCCGCCATGAGGCTGCAATCAGTGGTTTGCTTGTGTACCAATCACCATCAGTATGCCCTTTGTGTTCCCCTCCATGTTCGGGACTGGGTCGATCCATTGAGTCATCAAATGATTACAGACACCAGCAATCCGTCCTCTGTCACAGATATCGATGCCTCTTCAGATCTCCTCCAATCAACGTGACTCCTCCCTTTGTTCCATATTCATTTTACATCGATATCGTGATATGAGACTGGATAAGGTCTTGGATTTTGAATATTCTTAGTCTTTTCCTGGGTTCAACGGCTGCTCACCAGACTTGTAGCTTTACTTAGTAGTTTTATTTTTCTTTACATACATGGTCTATATATTACTGATGATCATTTAGCAATATTTAAAAATCTCCTTGTGTTTATTACTATGTTAGGGCATCGATGTCCAACCCTACATCGTCACAATTTATATTGAGGAATTTGGTCATAAATATTGCAATATGTTTTTCATATCGCCCAGCCCTACCTCTGAGAATACTTTGATTTCAAGGAGACAACTTTTACCTTTTTGGTAATAGATATATATTTCCTTGGCTTTTTTGGGGAGATTATTTACAAATGTTTTCAAACTGGTCTCTCAATTACAGTCGTTTGTTGGTGTACAAATTAAATCTTCTCCTTGTGTAATTATTTTGTGAAAGCATCAATGTCCAACTCTACGATATCTTCACATTATCGCTATTGAGGTTAGAGATATTTCCTTGGCTTTTCCTTTTGGAGATTATATATTCGTTTTCAAACTGATCATAAAATGTGAATTTAGCTTTTACAGAACTTGCCTTTGATGTCATATCCATATGGGGCATTGGTTTACTTACCATCAAAGCAATTTGTTTTCATGCAAGCCAATAGAAGATAATGACAACCTCTTTACATAATAAGGATCCACAATTGACCCAGTCCTTGTGGCCCTCTCATTGTGATGTGACATCAGTCGTATGTATGTGTGCTGCATGGTGATTGGCTGTGACGAATTCCTAATGTGCAGTGCCTCGTTTGCCACTTCTGTTAAGATCCTTCCTGTGTTTTAATCGCCTCCTTCAAAGTGCCCTCCACTCTCCACGCTTTGAAGGAAACCAATCATCCCCCCTTTGTGTGTGTGTATTCGCTGGAAGGTCTACCAATGGATGCGATCAAAGTTAATCTTTAAGACGTCATAAGATCATCGGGATTCACTGAGGTCTCCTTGCCCAAAGGCTCATGGCTGTTTCAGACACTGACACAGAAACAAAGAACCTCAGTGTGTGTGTTGTACGTCTATCACTGTAGATTTCCCGCTGATGTTAGACTGGTGCGTCAGCCAAAATAAATATTAACATCAGTGTTTTTGAAACGCTTAAGCTTAATTGATTTTTCTCTCTCTCTTGTTTGTGACAGAGTGGATTATTCACGTTTGATTTACAGAAATTCCAATCAGTTTCCCCCCCCCCCCCTCAAACCAAACCTTGTGAATAATGCAGTAAAGAAAAAAAAATCCAACAAACATCCACAGAGATCAAAGGGTCCAATCCAGCCATCCGGTCTCGCCTCCCTCATATTTTTTCATCACTTTCCATTGAAGTTTGTCACATTTGATATGCTGCATCTGTGGTTTCTCTTTTCTCCCTTTCTGTGTATGGAAACGGTGGTGCTTGCATACCAAAAGCTGATGAAACCATGCAGAAATCTTCACTTAAGTGACAAGTGTCAAATGTGCAAGTCTTAATTAGTCTGCCACTTGATCACATAAGAAACCTTACTCACACACTTCCCACATATTCATAGAGGAGAATTCAGGGCATTGAGTTTCATTCCTTTCTCTGAAGAGGTTAAAACTGACTGAGGACAGTAGGTTGGAATGACCTCTCACACAGAGAATATTGATCGTTTGTTTCCAATTTTAAGTCCTCCTATCAAATATTTATTTATTTATGGATGCTTTAACCTTCATTGCACAGAAAAAAAGTCCATGTAAAGTTTGACAAACAATTTATTTGTTTCTCCAAACTCGCCTTGAATCTCAGTTGAAGTTGTGAAAACAAACAGGATTTTTACCATCTTTGCAACCACTGCAGAAGCGATTCGTCGTCCAGTGTTAATTTTTCACTGATTGATACTTTAAACCTCACGTACACCGTTGATGGAGTTGTCAACTTTTATGAGGAAACATGTTTTTTTTCAGATTCATGGCAGATACAAAAACAAAATAAAAAATGTAATCACAAAACTCACAACTCTCGACCTTAACTATTCATTCAGTCGTTTTGTAAAAGCTTGCCACGCTTAGTGATAGTGATAGTCAACCCTGAACACCTGCATTCATGCTTTGTTCTGGCGGTTGAATAATTTCCAATGCTAAATCTCTCTCACTTAGAAACACAAAATGAATTGCCACTGAAAGATATTGAAGTATGAAGGCTAGCAGTGTGAGCTTCTCTGGTGGTCTGACATGTATCCTGTTGATATGGAAGACCACAAAAACCCCCTCGCACATTTATGTTTCTGTCTCCCATATCTTCACCTCTCTCTCTCGTAACATCTACTTTTCATCACATTTCACTCTTCTCTTTATCTTTTGATCTTTTCTTTTGTTCTGTTTGCATGGCCCTCTCTTTCTATCCCTCCCCTCCTCTCCTCACTGACGTCAATAAGAAATTGGATGGTTTTTGATTATTACATGGCTGTCAGGCTTACTGCTATTAATTGAATTGAATCCCAGTCCATCTCCTTTACTTCTCCATCCCTTCCCTCCCTCTCTGTCTCCCTCCCCCTTCTTCTTTTCACTCTCATTTTCCTTCTTGTTTGTTCTTTGTTTTTGCTATCATTTTTCTCCCCCCTTCATTCCCTTGGTGTTCATTTGCCCCTGTTTCTGCTTGCATTTCCTCTCTCTCAGTTTCGTGTCTCCTCCTTCTCGTGTCTCAATATTTCTTCCTTTTCCTCCCGCCTTTTTCTCCCGCTCTCTTCCGCCCTCACGTGCCAGCTTTTCCTTCCCCTTGTCATTTCTCTTTCTCTACAGGCTTCTTTTTATCCTTTCTCTATACCCCTCGTGCTCTTGTCTCTCCCCCCCCCCTCCTCTCTCTCCTCTCTGATGCTGGCTCTCACTCCTTGAGCACTGTGATACTGTTGTCATGGTGACGCCCATCATTTTCTGGCATGAATGGAGGACAGTTTATTGATGAGACTGCAGGGTAAAAGAGAGAGAAAGAGAGGGTGATGGAGAGGAAGACAAAGACAGACGGAAAGAAAAAGGGGAAACCAGTGGCAGGGAACATCTGAATGATATGGAAATGATCGTCCCCGCTGCTCACCATACAAAACATTTCCACTCGGTAATTTTCTCAGTGCTGATGAGTCGAGAAAATTGCGAGCTGAAAAACGCTGAATCTTGTCGAGGGGTTTTAGGATAGTCGGGGTTGCTGGAGAATATCCCCCCAAACACTATTATCCATCCCTGTGAGTGTGAGAAAGGAGATTCCTCTCTTATTAGGAAGCAGTGAGCTGGTTCCCCCGTGTGTCCCTAGCTGCCCGTGTTTAATGATTTGTCCTGTTGTAAACATGGTCACAATAATGTGTTTTTGTTTCATCTGCGAACACGGGCGTTGGTGTTATCCGGGGTCTGATGGACACTGTCATTAGTTTGTTGTTGCTGCGGTGTTTGCACACAGTGCAGACTGGCAGAAGCGATTAAAGCAGAAGGCGAGCTTGTTAGAAACTTCTGATGTAGACATCACATTGAGAGGCTTGGCACAGCAGACAGAGATGCAGACAGAGACACAGACTTCTATCGAGAGTTTTTAGGCATTCAGCTCACACCATTATGCTGGATGAAGAAATCAGAGCCAGTTGTATATATTTAAACAGCATAAATGCGGTAATGAATGTGTACATGTTTAGGATAGTTTAAGGCAGCTAACAATCATTTCGTGTACGAGAAGGATTTAACAGTGTAGCAGAGAATAAGAACATGTGTGGATAAACTGGACTGGAGGTGGATCTCATCTGACTTGTTTTTGACCTCTGACCTTTCCCGTACAGTGCACCTGCTGTCAGAGACGATCCAGGGAGCTACAGCCACCGCCACCGGCATCCAGTACCAGCAGTCCTGGCTCTGCATCCTGTAAGACATCATGTGTCCGTTGAAATATTGATGTAATACAAGAGGTTAACCAACAATAATCTATTCAGACTTTGTGTGAATTTATAAATGTATTATAGCATCTGAAATGAAAAAACAATCTGCCTCTCCCGCTGTTAGTTACATTCAAATCAAATGGAATATTTGTGGTTTGAGATTTTGCTTAAGAAACAGTCTGTAGGCATCACATTTTATTTTACAATTCGTAGACTAACCAATCAATATATAATTTGTAAAGGGTTTTGGAATAAAATAAAACTTATTTTAATCCTGATAATATCAGTGTTTGAATAATTGTTTGTCATTTAAAGGTCACATGTCATGGCCATTTCCACTGATCATAATTCCATTGTTGAGGTATACTAAAATAGAAAAATACTGTGCAATTTTCCAAACTCACATTGGTTTCGCATACAGCATCTCTGTAAAGTATGTGTATTCAGCAGTATTCACTTTCTCCACTAAACGGCTCGCTGCAGCTCTCCCCCCTCCGAGCGATACACAGCAGCCAACTCCTGAACACACGTCACACCCAATAAGTGTGGCTTGATAAAAGGGGCTGCAACGGATCTGATACAGACTGATCCAGATTTGAACACTACTGTGACGTCACAGAAGTGGCGCTACGGCTATTGGGCCAACTCCACCAATCAGGAGGAGACAGCCACGGACATTGCCGTTCGAAAGCGCTGGAGACGCTGTAGTACATATGCCAGGCCTGTAGATGGTGCTGTTCTCACAGAATCAGCCCATGCAAAGACAGTGTTAAATTGAGCGAAATGAGGAATGGCTAAAATGCATGATCTGTTTGGTATTTTAGAAAAATAAAAGTATAAATATGCCTTATATAGGTATGGTCCTACACTATATTATT